TTGGGAGGCCGAGGCTGGTGGATCACCTGAGGTCAGGAGTTTGAGACCAGCCTGGCCAACATGGTGAAACCCTGTCTCTACCAATAAAAAAAAAAAAAAAAAAATTATCTGGGTGTGGTGGTGTGTGCCTGTAATCCCAGCTACTTGGGAGGCTGAGGCAGGAGAATTGCTTGAACCCAGGAGGCGGAGGTTGCAGTCAGCCAGGATTGTGCCACAGCACTCCAGCCTGAGTGACGAAGTGAGACTCTATTAAAAAAAAAAAAAATTAGCTGGGCGTGCTGGTGGGTGCCTGTAATCCCGGCTACTCAGGAAGCTGTGGCAGGAGGATCACTTGAACCCGGGAGGCGGAGGTTATAGTGAGCCGAGATCACACCATTACACCCCAGCTTGGGCGACAGAGTGAGACTCTGTCTCAAAAAAAAAATAAATAAATAAATAAAAAAAATAAAATGTGATTTGTTTAAAAAAGACAGAGAGAAGGAGTCTTAAGTCCGTCTCAGTCTTCAGGGGAAGTTGTCCCTGCCCTGCATCCCAGCACATTCTGCTCTACGTCTGGTCAGCCCAGCCAAAGGTATCTCCCTGTGGAAGTGCCCCAACTGCCCTGCTGAGACCGACAGCCAGGTCTGGCTGCCTCTGCCCCGTTAGCTAACCGCCCCCCTGGAGAATCCACCTCCAGGCCCCGTGGAGAATCCTGGAACTGGGTCTAGCAGGATCCCTCCAGCACCGAGAACGCCCACTCAGCACTCGACCATTTTACCCCAAGCCCGTGGAGTCTCTCTCACCAGGTGGGAGATGCTTCCTCAGCTCGCGCCTGTAAGCGCTCAAGTTCACAAGTGGGGCTTTTCTTAGACTGGCGCGCCATTTATGCTAGAAGCGTAAATTTGACGGGAGGGAGCATCGCAGGGGGAAGGAGTGAACATGTGGGGAGCCAGGTGCCAGGATAGGACTTGGGCACGTTATCTCATTTTATCTTTCCAACAGCTCTGTTCAGGAAGTATCATTACCTCCATTTGGTAGTCAAGAATACTAAGGCTCAGCGGTTAGGTGACTTACGACCAGAATAAACAACAGTTAACCTTGATCGAGTATACACTGAGGAGCATTTGCTCACTGCAGTGGTGAAATGCATTGATTGACTCCGCTAATCCCAAAAATACTCTGAAGCATTGTCATTGTCCTCACAGACAAGATAAAGCGCTTGCCCGAGTTCACCTAAGATATGACAAAGGCAGAATTCAAAACCCAGGTCCCTGTGGCCCCAAAGCATTTCCTTCTATCTGTAAATAGTGTCTCAACATTGTATGGTTTATTTTGGACCCTGGAAACTTGTCTCCAGGTGTGATGCAAACCCCCTCCTCGTGGGATACATGTACCCGCAGTAAGGAATACTGAGCCAGAGCCTCCTCTTGCTGTGTGACCTTGGGCAACTTGCTTCAAACCAAATTGCTTGGGCAATTTGGTTTCTTCATCTGGAAATGAGGAAGAGTGACCCTTGTCAACATTATTGGCTTGTAAAGGTCTACCCAGAGAGCAACCGCTTGTACAGACACATATGCAAGGCCTCTGGGAAGACTCGGTCGTCTTAATAAAGCACTTTCCTCCCACTCTGGTCACCTTCACTTGCGATTCCAAGTCAGTTCAATTCAACGGATGCTGGGGGCAGCCATATTGCTCTATAGCCTGCCGGGTTCTGGGGGTGTGGCCGGAAGTGAGGTGCACTGGAACCTGGTGCCTGCCCTCTTACCCACCTAACGGTTTGCCACGGCTCTCACACGGCAGCCAGCCTGGGCCATCACCCAGCCATTTTCCTATGGGCCTTCCCAAAGACACATCTCGATCTCTCTCTTTCTCTCAAATGCTCCCTTCTCTACCTCCCAAGTCTCACTTGTTCTTTGAGGCTGAAGGTTGACAACCTTGCAGGAAACCCTCCCTCATTAATTATGCGCTCTCTGAGCTCCCTCCTTTGTGCTCCAACCCTTGCTTTGGGAGAGGCCTCAAGAACAGAGCAGAACCTCCCAGGTCAGGCACCTGTTGTGTCCCCACAGCTCCATGTCCCCGCAGCATCGCAGCCGGATCTGAGCACACCGCTTAGGTTGTTAGGAGGATTAAATGAAGAAATAACGTGTACAGGGCTTTGCCTAGTACCGGGACTACAGGAAGATCGCAATACATAATGGACGACAATAATGATAATTCTATAGATGAAAATCATATGATTAATTCCATTGGGACTGCAGGGCAAAGCTTTAGCTAAAGCCGTACAGAATTTCTCAAGACCTAGGGTCAGCTGAACCTTTTTAAAATAGCGTTCTTTGTAAGCCTTTGGCCAGAGTGGGGAGAAGAATGTGGGAGGTGGATGCAGAGTGAAACCCTGGTCACGGGCAACTTAGGGAAGGTCTATTCCCCCTGAGCCAAAGACCCCTCTATCCATAGCGACTTTCCCCTCCCCAGCCCCAAGGGAGGATTCCGGATTGCGCTGCAGGGCCCCGTCCTAGCCTTGGGTGATTGAACTCGGGTTGAACACGTGACCCAGTCTGGGCCAATCACGTCTCTCTCCTGAACATTTGGGTTTGGGAAGGGTAAGAGAGGGAAGCGTGCACCGCCAGCTGGTCTCTCACGTGACTGCGCCAGGGCCAGAGGAGTTGACAGCTGCTCAGGGCAGTCATGGCTTCTGTGGAATGGACGGCTCTGCTTGGCAAAGGGAGAGAGGACTGAAGCCATGTGGCAGAGACGAACTGAGACGAGGGTGGGACAACTTCCCAGTTCCACCTTTAGTCTCCCTGGACTTGGCCCTTCTTGCCGAAGACACCCCTGAGACCTCATAAATAAGTCCTCCTTTTTTGCTGAACCCAGCTTGAGCGAATTCCTCTGACTCAAAATTCCAGAGCCCAATCTGTATAGCGCTACCTCCCTCCAGGCCAAAAAATACCCTGATGAGAACCACCCCCCCCCGCCCCCAACCCTACAGGGCCCGTTTGTCAGAAAGGCTGGGAGAGGGAAAGAGCTGAGCACAGGAGCATTGGTCTCTCAGGGTTCGGGGGCAGACGTGGGCTCTGTAACCTGGGGAGCAGTGGCTGGAGCTGTGTTTGCTTTGATCGGAACCATTTCTAAAAACTTGATGGAGCCCTCACTATAGGTGCCTAATCATAACGCAACCATGGTTCACAGTTACTCAGCTTCTGAAATGCACAGATTGCCTTATCACCCGCTCTGGGAAGCTTTGCTGGACCGTCCCACCAGGCCAAATTAATCTTTCTCTGCCCTGCATCTTGGACACCATTCTGCTGAGGCCGTCACGCTCTCCCAAGATAAGCAGGGATGTAGAGGGAAGAGCAAGATAAGACTGGGTCAAATCCCCGCTCTATCGCCATCCCCGTTTGCAAAACAGGGGTGAAAATCTCTCTCTTGTAGGATGTTTTTAAGGATCTCATGATACTGTGTATTGGTAAGTTCAGCACAAAGCCAGGCACTTGGTCACGTCTCAAAAGCAGCTTTACTATGAGTACCATGGTCTGTGTAGATGCTTTCATCTTCCCCACCGCATGTGGGTGCTTTGAAAAGAGACAAGAGCTGGTTTACAGCTGGTGTCTCGTGTCTAGCAGTGCCTGGTGTACAGTAAATACCTGTTCAGTCACTGCATTTGGGATCCATGAGCTTCCTCAAGCATCCTAACAAGCCGTGAAATCGACAGGGTGGCATCCTGACTGGACCTAAATGGGAGGAATCCCCGGGGGTAGTTGAACCCAAGCCCAGATCTGCTCTCCAATTGCCCAGGTTGTGTTTCTGCTCAGGACTGAATTAATCCCAATCTCACTGGACGTGAGTTAAAACTGCGGGACCTCGTATTCCGCTTGTACAATATCTGTCAATGACGGGAGTTTCTCAGTGGGAGTCTGAGCCAAGCAGGAGATGGGGTGAGGATGTGAGGACATGGTAATTTGCCCTAGAGGAAGCCTAGCCTTGGCCTGGCCCGACTGGCCACGGAGTGCTTTGCTGAGTTGTGGGGGTTCAGTGCTCAAGATTCCAGAGGAGTCTGAGTCCTCAAGAGTCTTAGACTCATCCACCCAATTATCCCTCATTGAGGTCTCAGCATCCCACTCTCTGCCCAGGAGGGTTCTTGACTTTGGCTGAGATCTGGCCAAGCTTCGCCCTCTTTCTGCTTCACAGACCTGTGACCCTTCTGCCCCCAATTCCATGCCAAGCCTGATTTTCAGTACAGGGTACCCTATGGCTGCAGAAGGAGAGAGTCCCTTAAAACAGCACCATGGAGATTTTGCTCTTCACTGCATGGCCTGAGTTGACAGTTGATCAACGCAAGCCTGCCGTTTTCTTCCTTTAAGGCTTCCAGAGCAGTTAACAGCCACCAGCCAGCCTCGTCATCCCGATCGCTGCCTGCCCATCGCTGGCTGTCACTGTCACTGCCCTTGGATTGTTGCAATGCTAGTGCTTTCATCTAACCCCCCACCATCATTTGTACCTCCCCAGCCCTCCACAGGGACAATCTTAATCACCATAGTACCAGGGGTGGCCACCGTCACACACACAACAACAACAGGGTCCTCACTGCATCTCACCAGGTGACCCAGCTCCAGAATGCCACCCTGTAGTGTGGTCTTCACTAAAGATCCCCCCAAAGCAGAACCCGTAGCAAAGACTTGTGTACAAGGAGTTTATTTTGGAAGTAATTCTAGGGACCAGACATGAGGGATGAACAGGAGTGAGAAAAAAGAAAGCAGGCCAGGTGTGGTGGGTCACACCTGTAATCCCAGCCCTTTGAGAGGCCGAGGCAGGTGGATCATGAAGTCAGGAGATTGAGACTATCCTGGCTAACATGCTGAAACCCTGTCTCTACCAAAAATAAAAAAAATTAGCTGGGCGTGGTAGCACGCCTGTAGTCCCAGCTACTTGGAAGGCTGAGGCAGGAGAATCGCTCGAAGCCGGGAGGCAGAGGGTGCAGTGAGCCGAGATCATGCACTGTACTTCAGCCTGGGTGACAGCAATACTCCTTAAAAAAAAAAAGGAAAGAAAGAGAAAGCAGAAGAGCCAATATAACGGTGCATTATTAGGTCACTGCCACGGATGACTGGGGCTCAGCGCTGCCAGTACGTTCCAAGCAGTGCATAGAGGGACCGAATGGGCCAGATGATGGCCTGGCAGAAGCATTCACCCAGTGGCGCCTGTGCACCCAGGGTTGAGGCTGGCTCCATGGAAGCAACTTCCCTCCATAAATCCTCCCGCTGTGCCCGCTCCTGCCAGCCTCGTGTTGGGGCGCTGCGGAAGCCCCTGGGCAGAAAATGAAAACCGCCGCCTGCTGACAGGAGGCCAGGTGCTGGTGGTGCACAGGGAGCTGGAGCCGCCCGGAACCACTTGCCACAGCGTGGCTGGAAATAGAGTTGTAGCCGCGCACGTGGCAGGCGGCGTTCAGAAGGAATCTGGTGCATTCTCTCACAGTTATGAAAACGGGCTCTGGAGCCAGGCTGTCTTAATTCCAGCCCTTCTGCTGTGCTTCCTTTCCCTCCGCTTACAGAGGGGGAATACTAACAGGAAAGTACTTTATAGGGTTGTCATGAAGGAAACGAGAAAATCCATGCAAGATGCTTGTCATAGTGCCTGGCACAGCATAAACACTCAATTAAGAGCGGCTTCTAATATCCCCGTTTTACAGTTGAGGAATCTGAGATACATATTTTTTGCAGGATGAGGAGAAAGGAGACAAAGAGAGGAAGGGAAGGATTTCCAGGAGACCCCACTCAAACCTCCAGAGATGCGGAGGCCGTGGCGCTCTCAGCGTTTCTAGGCCCTCTTCGCCTATCACGGTGGGGGGGGGCTAAGGAGAGGGACCAAAGGCTGTCTTCCCCAAACAGGCATTTAAGCTTCCTCCGCTCCGTGGGTTCTTTGAGATGTCACAGCTGGTTGCTATGGAGGCCAGGTTGCTGTGAATGTCAATCCGAGGCCCATTAGGAGCACGTGATCAGCAGCCCAGGTCAGCCTGGGGAGACCTGAAAATGAGGCTCCCCGTGAGGTCTAATAAACACCTCTCGCCACACCCCAAACACAGACGCACAATAGAGCCCGTAGGTCCTGAGTGAGTCCCCTGGCCCACCCTACTCAGCTGAGATCTGGAACATATGTCTGGGGACAAATAGCCCCAGCAGGCAAGAGCAGGCCACATCATAGGCAGTCAGCATCAGCCACGGTCCCCTCCCACTGCCCCGGGGGAAATGGTGCTGCTGGCGGCCTGGCATCCGAGCATCCTCATGGTAATGCTGAGGTCAGAACTCACTGCGGTAACCTTACGCTGGGACCACAGACTCAGGCCAGGCTGGGAGTAAGCTGCCTGCCCATCGCTGGCTGTCACTGTCACCTAGGAAAGAGGAGAAGCTGTGAAGAGTCGCTCTGGAAAACACAAATCTGCTCTTAGGACAATGGGTCTGGGGGAACCCATCCTGGCCCTCTTGGCTGCTGGGCCAGGGCCTGGCTTTTCACAGGGCACCGTTGGGGCCACAGGAAGTGGCTTCCTGCCTGTGAAGACAGCAGACAACCGCCCTAGAAAGGGTTCCCGTCACCCCTGCTGTGGTCCCCCAGTGGGTTGCTTTGAGAGCCTTTCCTTTTACTGTGCCTGGGGAAAATCTTCCAGGGGGATTGGCACAGGTGGGAGGAAGTACCCTATTCCCTTCTCTGGATCACAGGGGATCCTCCCTCCATGTCCTGGTGAGGCCCTGCTCACTCCCTTTCCCTGGGCTGAGCCAGACTACAGGCAGCCTCCAGCCACCCATGCCTCCTGTTCACCCCTGCCTGCCTGCTGCAGTCCTCAGCCAAGCCCTTCCGCATTCCCCTGCCCCGGGCCCCATCGCACCACCTGCCTACTTGGGACACTTCTGCAGGAAGGACTGTTGCCTTTCTTTTGCTGGACTTCTTTTTTTTTTTTTTTTTTTTTTTTTTTTTTTTTTTTTTTTTCAAGACAGCATCTTGCTCTGTTGTCCAGGTTGGAGTGCACTGTCGCAATCTCGGCTCATTGCAAACTCTGCCTCCTGGGTTCAAGTGATTCTCCTGCCTCAGCCTCCCAAGTAACTAGGACTACAGGTGCGTGCCACCCTGTCTGGCTAATTTTTTTGTTTGTTTTTTTCTTTTTTGAGACAGTTTCGCTCTTGTCACCCAGGCTGGAATGCAGTGGTGCAATCTCGGCTCCCTGCAATCTTCGTCTCTCGGGTTCAAGCGATTCTCCTGGGATTACAGGCATCCACCACCACAGGAGGCTAATTTTGTATTTTTAATAGAGACGGGGTTTCACCATGTTGGCCAGGCTGGTCTCGAACTCCTGACATCAAGTGATCTGCCCACCTCAGCCTCCAAAAGTTCTGGGATTACAGGTGTGTGCCACTGTGCCCGGCCTGGACTTTCTTAAGAAACAGTTACTTCTAACCTAGAGCTTGACCTCATAGCTGGGCCCTTCATCCTGCTGACAGGCAGTGTGGTAAGAGAGAAACCACAGGGGCATCTTAGAGGCAAATCTCATTGCCACTCCTTTCTAGAGATGTGGCCCTGGGCAAGTTCCATCCCCTCTCTGAGAAGCTTGTTTTCTCCGGGTCACCGTGAGGATTGGATGACTCCATAAGTGTTCACCCCTTTTTTTCCAATCCTGCATCTGGACCCCCGATGCCACCTCCCACGTCAGAGGACCTGTGCCCGTGCTCTACCCCTCCGCTGCCCACACATCTGTCTCTCTACTCAGGCCCCTCAAGGCCGGTGGTGTTCCTACATCTTGCTCTTGCTGACTCAGTGGACATGTCTAGCCACTACCAGTCCCGACCCCATTCCATAGGTCCCTTCTGGGAAGGAGAGCCACCAAGAGCCCATGCCCTACTCTGTGTTAATATCTGTGACAGACACTTCACTCCATGGTTCTGATGAATTCTCACCCCAAGCCCAGCAGAGAGCTACCACTAGTCCCATTTTAGGGATGAAGAAATGGAGACAGAAGTAAAATGACCTGCTGAGGTCACAGGGCAACTATAGCTACCATTGACCAAACATTTTCACATTAAAAGGCTTGAGTTTTATGCTAAAAGGCTTCACACCCATCATTTCATTATAGAGTAGGAAGTCAAGTTCCTGAACTGTGGAGCCAGCCTGCCTGGGTTTGAATCCTGCCTCTGCCTCTTACTAGCTGTGTGACCTTGGGGAAGTTACTTCATCTCTCTGTGCATCGGAGTTCTACTCTGTAAAATGAGATAGCAACAATGCCTCCCTTATAAGGTTGTCATGAGGATGAAATTAGGGATAAAGTGCTTAATGCAGTGTCCAGCACAAAGTAAATGCTGTAAAGTGTTTCTTTTTTCTTTTTTCTTTTTTTTTTTTTTTATTGACGGAGTTTCACTCTTGTTACCCAGGCTGGAGTGCAATGGCGCGATCTCGGCTCACCACAACCTCCGCCTCCTGGGTTCAGGCAATTCTCCTGCCTCGGCCTCCTGAGTAGCTGGGATTACAGGCGTGCGCCACCATGCCCAGCTAATTTTTTTTGTATTTTTAGTAGAGACAGGGTTTCACCACATTGACCAGGATGGTCTCGATCTCTTGACCTCGTGATCCACCCGCCTCGGCCTCCCAAAGTGCTGGGATTACAGGCTTGAGCCACCGCGCCCGGCCAGTGTTTCTTTAAAAAAAAAAAAAAAAAAAAAAAAATACAGGAGAGGGCCAGGCGTGGTGGCTCACACCTATAATCCCAGCACTTTGGGCAGGTGGATCACAAGGTCAGAAGATCGAGACCATCCTGGCTAATACGGTGAAACTCTGTCTCTACTAAAAATACAAAAAATTCGCTGGGCATGATGGCGCTTGCCTGTAGTCCCAGCTACTCGGGAGGTTGAGGCAGGAGAATCGCTTGAACCCAGGAGGCAGAGGTTGCAGTGAGCCAAGATGGCACCACTGCACTCCAGCTTGGGTGACAGAGTGAGACACTGTCCCCCCAAAATAAATAAATAAATAAATAAAATACAAAATACAAAAATAAAAGGCAGGAGAAGGGAGGTGAAGAAAGCCCCACAACAGCTCTTAGGGTAGAGTACTACTGTTAATTGCATCTTAGGGAGTTAAACAGGCACAGAGAGGTGAGTTCACATAGCTGAGGTCACACAGCTTGTACATGGCAGGGCTGGGGTTACAGCCCAGGGTTCATTGTATCAGGAGCGGTGCCGGTCCCATCTTGTCAGTCCACCCTGCAGGAGAGGACAGCAGGGGTCCTGCCAGAGGGTAAGGTCCATAGCAACTAAGAACCAGAAAGGAGTGCTGCCCAACTACAGAGCTTGGCTGGGGCTGGGTGGGGGCAGGAGGACTCAGTGGCTGGTGGAGGAGGAAGAGAAAGGAGCAGCTGGCTGAGGCTCGCCGGGCCCCTAGCACCCAAAATTCCTGCTCCAGCTGCGAAGGAAGCATGGCTTGGCTGAGCTGCTGTCAGAGCTGAGCTTGGGGCCACCCCCAAACCCCATGCTTCTTGCCTAGATTGAGCTTGAGCTCATGTGAATCCTTGCATTTATTGATAGTACATTCCATTCGTGGGGCCATTATTTCCAACTCGGTGACCTTAGGCAAGCAGCTAGACTTTGCTGGACCATGTGGCGTGAGGGTGTTTTGGGGCATGAGTGAGCTCATGGATGGAAATACCAAGTTCCTATAGCAGTCCAGCACAGGGCGGGGCTGCTCAGGAGATGGGCGTTCCCTTCCCCCCTCTGCTCAATTCAGCTGACACTTGGTCAGCAGAGCGCACCCAGACGAATGCCCAGGTGGACACTGGTGTCTTTGTGGTTCTCTTAGGGTAGAGAATCAGACGCCTGCCAATGTCTTTGCTGCTTCCACAGGATCTCTGGGAACTGGAAACCGAGCTTTAAGAAATAACTATAGTGCAAAGGCGAGTATAAATATAATCAGGTTTCCATCATGTTCTTCCTGTAAAATTCTCTTGGAAATGACAGCCAACCTCCATTCTATTGCAGGCAACTAAGGGAAAAGGGTTGCCTTAAAGCAGAAGGGACTGTGAGGGTCACAGTGACCTCCTGAGGCCAGCTTGGTGGTAGCAGCCAGAGAGAGTAGCTGAGTGAGACCCCAACGGAGGGACGAGCCAGGCACTGTGTGGTTTCTGTCACCTCTGGATCACACACAGGCACACACAGGCGCACACACGCCCCTTACACTATTCTGCCCCAAGGTTTCTGCAGGCCTCCTTCCTGGCGCCCCTCCATTGCTGCCAGCATCGCACCACACCGCAAGGCTTTGAGGCTTTCCCTCCAGAGCAAAGGCGGACCCTCTGGCCATCTGAGGCTCGGTTTGAAGCAACAGCCTCAGAACACAATCTCAGGCATGCAGGAAGTGCGCCCAGTGCCACGTACGCTATCTCACTTCATCTCATTAGCAGGAAATGTCTCTGAAGGCTTGTGTTGGCGCTTAAAAATTCATGAGCAGTTTAGCCCTTGGTAACGCCAGGCTTTTTCAAATTTGAAATGAGATTGAGACAATCGTAGTCATCGGAATTCCCTTCAGAGACAACACTTAGCTGGGTCTCTTGGTTGCAGGGAGGAGGCTGATGGTGGTGGAGGGGGCAGTAGAGATGGCAAAGAGTGGGGGGCATGCCAAGGGGACAGTCAAGTGAGGAAAATACTAAGTCACTCTCATTATGTGGAGTGAGGAGGGAAGAGGGCATGAGGATAGTGTGTGACAATGTGTGTGTGTGAGAGAGAATGTGTGTGTGTGTGAGAGAGAGAATGTGTGTGTATGAGAGGGAATGTGTGTGTGTGAGAATGTGTGAGAGAGACTGTATGTGAAAGAGAATGTGTGTTTATGTGAGAATGTGTGTATGTATGTGAGAGAATGTGTGTGTGTATGTGAGAATGTGTATGTGAGAATGTGTAAGAATATGTGTGTGAGTGCATGTGAGAGATGTGTGTGAAGAGTGTGAGAAAGAGAATGTGTGTGTATGTGAATGTGTGTGAGTGTATGTGAGACAATGACAGTGTGTGTGAGAATGTGTGTTTTTAAGACTGTGTGTGAGAAAGTGTGTGAGAATGTGTTTATGTGACTGTGTATGATAGTGTGTGTGTGAATCCATGTGTGTGCAAGTGTGTGTGTTAGCATGTGCGTGAGAGGGCATGTGAGTGTGTGTGAGTGCAAGTGTGTTTGTGTGGGTGCATGTGTTAGTGCGTATGTGGGTGCCTGTGTGTGTTAGTGTGTGAGCATGTGTGTGTTAGTGTGAGAGCATGTGTGTGAGAATGTGAGAACGTGTATGTTAGTGTGAGAGCGTGTGCGAGTGCATGTGTGTGTGAAAGTGTGTGTGAGTGCATGTGTGTGTGAAAATGTGTGTGCGTGTGTTAGAGTGAGAGCATGTGCGAGTGTGTGTAAGTGTGTGTGTGAGTGCGTGTGTGTTAGAGAGAGCATGTATGAGTGTGAGTGCATGTGTGAGAGCGTGTGCAAGTGTGTGTGTGAAAGTGTGTGTGTGAGTGCGTGTGTGAGAGCATGTATGAGTGAGTGCGTGTGTGAGAGTGGGAGCGTGAGCATGTGTGAGTGTGTGAAAGTGTGTGTGCGACTGCGTGTGTGTGTGTTAGCGTGAGAGAGCATGTATGAGTGTGAGTGCATGTGTGTGTAGGGTCTGCAAGATGGAGCAGAGAGGAGATTGAAATGAGTGAGGCTAGGAGCCGCTTCAAGGAGGAAGCCAGGGAAAAAGAGAAAGCCTTGCATGTCGGAGGAGGAGCTAGAGAAACAGTGTCAGGCGTGCTCAGGCAGGGGAAGGGGATGGGCTCCTCCTAGCAGAGGCCTTGAAAATCTTCTGCAGGACTCGGCCTGTGTCCCCTGGGCTCTGGGATCCTTGGCAGTATCCTGGACCTCACTGGGTACTGGAACCCATTGGTCTCTTTCCCACTAGGCTGTGGTTGTCTCAGGGGTGGGCGATGTGTGGCTTCCTCCCCGAGCCCCAGGCCCAGCCCAGGGCCAGGATTCATCAATGTTGTTTGAACTGGCTGAGCTCCAAGCAGGTGGGTTTGGAGGTTTCCACTCTTTGTTTTCTGGGTTGGTCTGATTTAACAAGGCAGGCAGTCTGGAGTCAGACCCAAATTCTTGCCCGCCCAGTTTCAGTCCTACCTGGAGAATGAGACGGGCCTGACTCCCTCAGGCTGGAGCCCAGATGAGTTCCGGGTGCAACGGAGGAGGCGGTCGGAGCCAGTCTTATTGTTGAGTGGGCAGACGGCAGAGGGGACTCCTCTCGGCAGCTGGTCCAGCCCTGGGCTACCCTGTCCATCCAGAGCCCTAGGAAAGAAAAAAAAAAAAAAAAGGAGCCTTGCAGTGCAGGCCTGTGTGGTCCAGAAAAAGAAAGGTGAAAGCCCCCGTGGATGCTGCTCTCAGGCCAAGAGGCGCCAGGCTGAGATCCCAGGCTGCTTTTCCCCTCTGGGAGGGGTGCACCCGCACGCACATACAGAGTGGCAGCTTCTACACGAATGGACACCCGGAAGGCAGGGGAGGGGGGTGCCAGGGATTGGCCATCGCTCAATGACGGTGGGACGGGTGCCTTCAGGAGCTCCAGGGAGGAGAGCGCACCTGCACAGCGTCAGCCCAGCTCCTGCGTGAGTCATCACCAAGTAGCTGATGGCAGGTGTGGAGCAAGAGCCCGTACAGGATGGGCCCCGGTGGGGAGAGAAGAGAGCAGAAGACGCATGTTTGGGGTGAGAGCTGGAGGCGTGAACAGGTGGAGGGACGTGGAGGGCTCGTGCTCCTCCCACCGTCAGCTCCAGCCCAGCCAGCCTGAGCACGGGGCCCTGGAAGTTTGCGGATGGAAGCCGTAGGGCTGTGTGGGAAGGTGGAGGTGACCTCCCTCATTACAGGGACCAGGAAATGCTGACGAATAGACTGCCATTGTTTCCTGAGTCCTTGCTGCATGCCGGGCGCAGAGCCAGGCCTCCGCACACATGACAACAATGGCATTTACTATGTGCTGGGCACGTTCTGAGCTCGTCACTGCATTCGCTCATGTGGCTCTCACAAACCAGAGTGGCCAGGAGACCACAGAGAGGTCAAGTGGCTAGTCCGAGGTCACCAGGATCAGGACTCCTGACCCCCCCATCTCACTACAGCTTCTCCGGATGTGACTGTGCGGTAGATAGTATTCCCACTTTACAGATGAAGAAACTGAGACTCGGAGGGATTCACTGAGCGGGGGAAGGAGTGCTCTCACTGTGCCAGGCTCTGTGCTAACTGCGTTCCCATCTACAATTCCCTCCATTCTGGCCACAGCTGTGTGGAGTGGAGATTATGATCCCCAGGTTACAGAAGAGAAAACGGGGGGTGAGGACAGGAGGGATAAGGCATTTGCCACGATTTGACTGAAGAATCGGCATGAAGCCTGCACAGTTTTCAGCGATTCTCATGCCCTCAGGGAACCACTGCTACAGCACCCACATTTCAGGTTCCAGTAGTCCCCCAAGCCTCTCCCAACCCGCAGCCCCATTGCAGGGACCCAGGCTGGGGTGAGATGGACAGGGTCCCAAAAGATCCTTCTCTTCCAGAGCCCAGCTCCCTGCACCCAGCCGCTTCCTCCTGCAGGAAATACAGACCAGGACGATTCCCGGTTCCCCAGGGCCACAGGAGGAGTCCAGGGGACAGGGCCGTCTGGAAGGCTGAAGTATCCAAGTGCAGGAAGGAAAAGCATCCTCTCCAGGGTCTGGGTTCCGATTCTGGCTTAACCTTTGTGGTCAGAGCTGATCAGAGCCTCAGTTTCCTGTGAGATAAGAATCATCCTCCCCGCCTTGGGGAGGAATTGTGACGACCAGATAGAAAGCGCCCCTGATACAGTGCTGCTCTGGCCAGAACCCCGGAGTAAAGTCTGAGATGAGGATTCCTGTACAAGGGATGTGTCAAGGGCGTGCTCCTAGGGGAAGCTGGTGAGGGCGAGGGAAGCGCCCAGCCAGGGTCTATGCAGGAGGGTGGGAGGGGTGCCCGCAGTGTAGATCGCGCCTCTGTTGCTCAGACTCAAAGCAAGGCCCTCCACCACTGGCTGTCGCACCCTGGCTTCCAGTTCTCTGCACTCAGGGTCAAAGTAGCTCCAGCAGCCTGAAGACCATTAGAGGCTAAAGCACACAGAAGCCGGGGGTGGGGCAGGCACTCAGAATTGCTAAGCTGCACCCAAGGGGTGCAGCACAGACACTGTCACCTGTGCCTGACACACAGAAGGTTCTCATTAAACAGAGTCAGTAACTGCTGGCACCCACAGAGCTGGGACAAGGACCCTTGGGCCTGGGGCAAGTCGTGTGGCCACCCAGCCTTGGCAGCTGTATCCGTTTTCTGTTGCTGCTGAAATAAATGACCACTCCCTCGGTAGAGTAAACCTGTATCCATGGATTGCATTCTCTTACGGTTCTGGAGGTCAGAAGTCGAAAATGAGGATGGCAGCAGGCCCGAGCTCCTTGTGAAGGCCTCGGGAGAATCTGTTCCCTTGTCTTTTTCAGCTTATGCGTGCCCCAAGATGGACACGAAGCCCCGCATTTGTCTCAAGGGGACCGCTCTCAGCTCTACTCCAGAGCTCCTTGTGGGATGGGGCTGAGACTAGACTTCAGCTGGACCCACGTCTTTGCCTGGCTTCCTTCCTTGCTTTCCTGTTTCCTTCACCCCTGTAGGTTTCACCCCAGAGGACCCAACTCCAACCAATAAATGACTTGCATGAGACTCTCTGCTTCTGAGAACCTGACCTACGGCACTTTGTAACGTTATTCCCCTTTCACAGATGGGGAAGCTGAGGTGCAGTGAGAATGACTCTATCTCGTTCAAGGTTACACAGAGAGTCAGTGGCAGAGCTGGGGCTGGACCCTAGACTCTTAATTCTCAGCGTGGGGCTCCCCATCCCTCCTGTTTGTCTAAGGGTCAGTGAGGGGGTCTGGGGAAGATCAGAGAGCCAGTCCCCAGATATAGCTCGCTTTTCTCAGGGCAGTCATGGCGTCGCTTCACCAGCTACCTGCCGGCCAGAGCCTTTTTCTTCCTACCTCTTCTAAGTCCTTTCTAAGGAACTGCTCTTCAAAGAGACTTCTGGCTGTTTTGCTTTGAATTTCCGTGGCAGCTCTTTTCCCCAAATCCTGGCAGCTTGGCACGAGAAGAGACTGTCCATCTGGTGCCCTGGGATGGTGTGGGAAGGGTCTGCTAGTCATAGAGTGGGAGGCCGAGACAGAGGCAGGCCACCCCATGCCCTGAACCCCCTCCAGAAGACCCAGACTACAAAATAGCAATGGTCTGAGCTAAGACAACTCAAGTCTTGTGCTGCTGATTTTCTGTCTCTCCCCACTTCATCCCTTCCTTCCTCTGCTCCAGATCCCAGTCGTATCTGCGGACCACGAGCTCTCTGCCTTCTGGTCTCTGATGGCTCCAGCCAATGGAAGACCGCGGCAGAAGGAGAGATCAGTGTTTATTCCTCGCCAATCCTTGCCCTTTCAGGCCTAAGGATGGTCACAGTTTCCTGGTGATGCTAAGTCCCCGCCACCTCTCCATCCCTTCCTGCGTGTGATAGATTGTCGGGGCCCTCAAGCTGTACTAATCCCTGGGTTCTATGAACCTGCTACCTTATATAGCAAATGAGACTTTGCAGACGTGATTGAATTAACCGGGTGCAGTGGCTCATGTCTATAATACCAGCACTTTGGAAGGCTGAAGTTGGCAGATCAGTTGAGGTCATGAGTTCAACACTAGCCTGGCCAACATGGCAAAACCTCATCTCTACTAAAAAATACAAAAATTCGCTGGGCATGATGGTGGGCACCTGTAATCCCAGCTACTCAGGGGGCTGAGGCAGGAGAATCACTTGAACCGGGAGGCGGAGGTTGCAGTGAGTTGAGATCATGGCACTACACTCCAGCTGGGGTGACACAGCAAGACTCCATCTCAAAAAAAAAAAAAAAAAAAAAAAAAAAAAGGTGTGATTAACTGAATGTTCTTGAGATGGAGAAGAGATTATACTGAATTATCCAAGGGGGGCCAATGAAGGAATTGGGTCCTCATAAGACAGAGGCAGGAGGGTCAAAGTGACCCGATGATGCAAGCAGAGGTGACAGTGATGTGACCAGGAGCCAAGGAAAGCCAGGAGAGGCAAGGGCTGGATTCTCCCCTGGGGTCTCCAGAAGGAACCAGCTCTGCTGACACCTTGATGTTAGCATTTGGGACTTCTGACTTCCAGAACTGTAAAGAAATAAGTTTGTGTCGTTTTAAGCCACTAAATGTGTGGTCATTTTTTTTACAGCAGGAATAGGACATTAATACGCTGCCCTTCTGTAAGTACCCTTTTCATTAAATTGCCTTTAGTTAAAGCCTCAAGTGTGTCTTGTACTTCCTGCGGGAACCTGAGTCATACCGCTACTGATATGTGTCAGAAATGGCTGATTATTTTACTAACCGCTCATCATCCATGTTACTGGTAGAGAAAGTGGGACTTAGATCACAGTCAATAGAAAGAGGTGGCATCCAACCCTCTGGCTGCAGGACCCGAGTCACAATCCGGCAGGCTGCTGCTCCCCACTGTTAAAGGAGGAGCCGATGGCAAGGGAAGGAGCCCTCGTGAAAGTGACGAACCACCCCCGCCCCCACCCCGCAGGACTCAGGCCCGGGCTCAAGTTGGGTGGAGCGAGGGCAGCCCGCGGTTCAGGGGCATGAACAGTTCACTTCTTGCTTCTGAGGACTCAGACACACACCCAGGTGCTTCTCAAGCTTTCGTGGAACCCAAGAAACTGCATTTGAATTGATAACTCTCGACCCTCAGTTTCCTCTTCCATTAAATTGGAATTTACATGTCCATCTTGTAGAGTGGCATTGTGAAAACTAACGCACAGGTGAGGAATGATGAGCACATGGTGATTACCCAATAAACGGTGATCATTTTTATTTTAGCATCTATCATAGATGCTAAAATTCTAGCACAGTTCTAGACACTGGGGATAAATCTCAGAAGAAAATGGACAAAACTCCATCCCTCATGAGATGTTCATTTTGGTGACCTGAAACAGACTATAAACACATAACTACTTTTTTTTGAGACTATGTTGCCCAGGCTGGAGTGTAGTGGCCTGATCACAGCTCCCTGCAACCTCAATCTCCCAGACTCAAGTGATTCTCCTTCCTTGGCCTCCCAAGTAGCTGGGACTACAGGCATGCGCCACCACATCTAGGTAATTTTTGAAAAAAATATTTATAGTGATGAGGTTCCACTATGTTACTCAGGCTCGTCTGGAACTTGTGGGCTCAAGTGATCCTCCCACCTCAGCCTCCCAAACTACTGGGGTTAAAGGCATGAGCCACCATGCCTGGTCAACTAAATTACTGGGTGGGTCAGAGGATGGTAAGAGGCAGAGGGTAGGGCACTGGAGGAGGGGGTGGCTGCAATTTTACGTAGATTATTCAGGGGCGACTTCACGGAGAAGATGACACTGGTTTTTGAGCATCTCCTTGCTGCTTCATCTATTGATGTGTTGATTTCCTTGTATTGGCTTCAATATAATTGGTGCTGATGTGTGACTGTCTCTTGAACCCTGGGTGAGGTGAGGATGAAGGCTCAGTGTGCCTCAAGTACGTTTGAGGATGGGTGGGCTTCCCGGCTTTCCCTTCCCCCACCAGCCATTTACACTTTTGCCCAAACTTTGCCCTCCACCTGGCATGCCTCCCTCTCCTTGACAAATGCCCTCCCATCCACCAAG